AACTGCAACATGGGAACATGGCATTTAGACTCAGGCTTCCTGACCCTGTAATGGGCCACAAGAGTGTTCTAGCTCACTCAGAGCAAATACAATCCACAACTGTCAGCTGTTAGCATCTATTAAGAAGCAGATAAACAGTGGCATAGTCAGCAATGTATCAGAATTGTTGCTGTGTGGTGATGATGAATTTAGAACAGGGCAGAGACACAGGGATTAACAGAAATACAGGGCGGGGTGCCTAGCTCATCAGGGATATTTATAATAAGAAACCAGGGGGTGCTTTCCATCTGCCGGGCTTCATTACAAAGGCTTTACAGGTGTCAGTTCACTTTATTCTTGCAACAAGTCTACTATGCCTGGTTTCTAACACCTGAAGATAAGGACTCAAAGGTGAATGACACACTCAAAGTCACACAGCTAGGAAGCAGCAAAGTTGGGTGTCAGATCGCAGTCAGCCAGCTCCAGAGCCTGCTTTTGACCCCATGCTGTGCTGCCTTATACCTCCCTAGTCAGTTCTAGAGGGCACAGTTCCTGAGCTACCTGACCTCAGCCCTTTTGCTAACAACCTGGAGGCAATGCCCTGGGCACTCATAAGGAGAAAAGCTGTGTATCAGCTGCAAATGCTCCTGGGCAGGAGGAAGCAGAGAGCACAGAACATGAATGATGCTGAGGTGGGCAGGTCAGACGAGGCAGATGGAAGGGGAATTGGAGTCTGGGCTGCCTAGGACTGTCTCTTCCTTTATGAAAACACAGCCTCCTGTTTCTCTCCCATCACCCACTCTCCCCTGCGCCAAACCTCTTCCTGGTGCACTTTCTTTTCAAGTCTACCCTCACTAAAAAGGGTCAGGAGTAGGTGTCACAGAACAACACTATTCAGAGGGTTAGGGACATGTTTCCCTAAGTAAGGGTCTTGCCTTGCAAACATAACAAGCTGAATATGATTCACAGAATCCACAGAAGAAAAGGCCATGTGACAGTTTGAAAGAAAATGGGACATGTCCTTATTAGGAGGTGTGGGCTTCTACCAGGAAGTGTGTCACTGTGGGGGAAGGCTTTGAGGTCTCTTTTGCTCAAGCTTCCCTCAGTGTGACAGTTGACTTCCTCTCGCCGGAAAGACACAGCACTCTCAGCTCCCACACCATGTGTGTCTGCACACCACCATGCTAGAGTCATGGTGATGATGGACTGAACCTCCGAAACAGAAAGTAAGCCATCCTAATTATATGTCTTCTTTATAAGAGTTGCTTTTAAGTCGTGGTGTCTCTTCACAGCAATGAAAACCCCAACTAAGACAGAAATTGATATCAAGGACTGGGATAGTGCTGTGACAGGCCCGATCATGTGTTTGTTTGGAGGAATTTGGACTTTGATACTTGGGATTAGGAAAATGGTGGAATGTTTTAAGCACTGTTTAATGGGCCATACTATTAGGAGCATGGAAGACAGAGGTGCTAAGAGTTATTTGAACTGTCCTGGACTGGATCAAGAGGTTTCAGAGGAGAAGAATTTTAGTATGTTGCCTAGAAATCATTCTTATGTTATTTTGGTGAAGGAAGTGACTGCTTTTTGCCCTTGTCTGAAGAGTCTGCCTGAGGCTAAACTGAAGAGTTTTGGATTAATTCCATTAGCAGAATAAATCCCAAAACAACCTGGTAGAGACTCTGTAGTCTTCTAAATTGCCTATATCACACACTACCAAGAAAAAAAAAGACTTAGTTTCTCACGTAACTCTAACTAGGCAGTTCTCAACCTTGAATATCCTTTTATTTGCACCCACACAACAATAACAAAACGATAATAATATCTAGAAGGGAAACATTACTGTAAGAGACATCTATATTTTTTGTGCAGTATTTCCCCACAAAAATCAATTCAAGGAAAATTCATGTTCTATACTTAAAGAAGAAGGTATAAATAATGCACATTTTCATTTTATCAACACTGTCTTCACTACATTGGCATGCCCGAAAATTTTCAGTTTTAAACTTTGGCCCCATAGCTCACTACCATGTTCTAAACTTTGGCCCCATAGCTCATTACCATGTTTTTTTGGTGTTTTCATTCCAAGGTGATGGAATTCTGTTCAATTAAATATATTCAATTTTGCAGTTCAAAAACCCTTTTTCTTTAAAAACAATCAGTTGCTATAGGCTTTATTTTTATGTGCCACTGGCATATTTTATTTGTTTAGTACATTTACACGAATACCAAACCTTGAATCATTATCCCCTCATCCGAGGGGACACCTGAGCTACATCCTGTTGGATGCTCTCCCTTCCTTCACACCAGCCTCTTGGAAAGATCCAAGTCAGCAATTTCTAGCATGTTCAACATTTTTATTTCATAGGCTCCTTAAGGGACTGGGCTGCAGAGTAGAAAATTAAGCAAATCCTTTAAAACCAGCAACTCCTGTAGCCTTTCAGGAAACAAAACAAAACCTTCAGTGTCCCCTCACTACACTGCAACAATCAGTGGCAGCCACAGAATCGCCACCCAGATCTGAGAAGATCAGAAAGAGAGAGCCCTGGGAATCCCAGGTTGCCAAATACAGAAACCTATTTTTTTTTCACAAAATTTTGCAAAGTATACATTGTGGTTTAAGTTGGGGATGACATCTAAAGGCTGCAAAACATTTCTCAAACTCCGTCACACACAGGAAAGAAGATGTGGCATGCTTCAAAGGATAAAAGGTGAAATAAAAAATTCCAGTCAAATTAAGAAATAGCCGTTTGAATGTTATTCATAGCTGTCTATATTTCAAACAACTTCATAGAAGTAGTTTGTAGACATTGTGGAGACACAAATGGGCCACTTACGTGTCTCTTTGGTTGCTGACAAGGCCACTGAACTCCCCAAACTACTCAGAGTGTGACACAGGAAACACCTGCATGGAATGGTGACCAGGGGTCCTGCCTGCTGTGGAGGATGATCCTCCAATAACCTTTAGCTCCCTTAGACTCTGTCCAACGGATGGTGGGTAAAACTGAATGAGGGGAAATGAGGATAGGGCAAGTTGAAGGGTACAGGTGAAAGCCTAGAATGGAATGTGGTTAAGGCAGTGGCCTGGTATTTGTGAATAAGGGGACATCTCACCTAGTAAACAGAGGCAGGCATCTACCCAGCTCCGACACAGTGGACACCCCCACGAGTCTCATGATTGATTCCTCTTTGCAACTGCTTGCGAAAGAACACACTTTTTTTGCATGGAATGCCAAGGCTAGATCTTCAGATCCATGAGCTACCTAATAAGCACCAAGGAAGCCTTTGTTCTTTCTAAGTTTCAGTTTTATTTGAAAGGAGTGAGAGCTCACAAGTTATTTGAATATAAATACAAACCTTTGAAAATATGGGGGTGGGCAGGCTCAAAGCACTGTAATAATTCCATTTTCTTAATCCAAAAAGGAAAATGACTGTAATTAGGCTGAGTTGTCTGCCAAGTTTCAGCCTGAAGGGACTATTTTGGCCAAGATACAAGCCCCTGAGAATAGCTTATAATGGACGCATCAAATCACACTTAACTATGGCAGAGCAAGTAGCTATTTTGTAATGTAATCAGTCAATAATCATGCCTTGTGTTTGAATTTTAATTAAAATAAATAATACTCCCTCCCCTTTACTGTCTCTCACTCTCTTCCCACACATTATTATTATATATGACCATTTGATTAGCACAAAATATCAATAAGATACAAAAGCAGACATGAAGCGTTGACCCTCTTACGCTCCTACTCATAAGAAGACCTAAGACAGACCAGTATAAAACAACATAGACAAGCCTCAATAATGACACAGGTGTGGATGTATTCACATCTATGTCTATTGACTGTGAACCTCAAATTTCACTAGGGACAGAGGGAATTTCATTATTGGGGACTTGGGTATGGTTTAATTAATTATAGCTACAAAGCACTAACTGGAACCTTGATGATTTGAGAGAATGAGTTTACCTCCCAGTGAGCCTAACCTCTGCTCAGGGAAAAGGCACGTACAGGGAAAATAAAAATGATTATTAAATGAAATTACTCAGTGCATTCAGAAGCAGCCCCCATGCTAGGGCTTCATCTTCCTTCTGACTGAGACCATTGTGCAATTGGGAGCCCAGCTTCTGGTCCAAGCCCAGCTTAGATGAAAAGTTTTGCAGTGGAGCTCAGCAAACGAGGTGCTGCACCTTGTTGTGCTGGCTAGTTCCATGTCAACTTGACACAAGCTAGAGTCTTTTTGCAAGGGGGAACCCCAGTTAAGAAAATGTCTCCCGCAAGATTGTCCCACAGAAAAGCCTGTGGTGCATTTTCTAGAAATGTTCTCATCAGTTCTGACAATGCTCCTTGTCAGTGCCAAAGACCATCTAACAAAACCCCTTGGACAACCCTGACTAGTAATTCCAAAGGTGCTTATTATGTTCCAAGAACCAAAGACAATCTTACAGAAATCCCAACATGGTGTACCAGAAACCCTTTTTCGAGACTCCCAAAACATTATAGGCTACTGATAATGCCTTTAGTGTCCCCCAAGAAGTGCAAAAGTCAGTCCCTATTGCTGAAGACACCACACACTTCAGGCAGGGCCCAGCGAACCCTGAGCTAGAACTGACCAGAATGTCTCCTCCCTAAGGATTCACTTTTATGGTACTAAATGGTGCCATGTAAGCTTTCAAAGGAAAAAAAGAAAGCAACAAACAGTCCTACCCAGCTATAATGCTTATGAACCACTACAATGACCAGCATGGCACAATAACCATAAGTGTATAGTAGTGGCTCACTTACTTGTCAATAACCAATAGCTCTCTACTGGACTAAAGATCTTCTCAACAAGAGAAAAACGTACATATAATTAACATTACATGGACTGTTGTTACACACAAATATTCACAACACACACACACACACACAAAAGAGGGGAACATGGGAGGGTTTGGAGGGAGAATAGGGAAAGGGAAAATGATGCAATTGTGATCTCAAAAAGTAATAAGTTCCCATTTAAGCAGAAAATTATAGCAATACTGATGTTCACCTCTTTATTTATCAAGAACTTGTCATTTTCGAAGAACTCCTTTATTCAACCATTCCACGTGGTAGACACACTGGTGGTATTCCAGAGGGCTACATGGTCTGAGAAGGGGACACTACCTTCTTCACCAGGAAGCAGTTCATTCTGCCAAAAGGAAGGCTCTGCAAAATGCTTTCTAAATTGGTATGCAATGAGGCTGAGGTTTCCTGTGTCTTCTGCTTCTTATATGCAGTACATGGTTATAAATATTTTGATTGGGTCTTTTAAACCACCAGGAAACAATAAGAAAAATGGATAAAATTGGAAGGGAGAGAAAGGGATGCAGTGAGTCTGCATGTGCTCACAGGACATGGACTAGCCCATACAGCTGTTTCCTGATTTCTTCCTTAGGACTTGGAACCCCACCACCACACCACACAATCCTGCTTACATAAAGGGAAACAAAGGCACAGAATATTTATGAATTTTACCAAAAATCCCATAGGTAGTCATGGATGATTCTGAAATTTACAGTCATTGAAAGCATTGGGTCTCAGGCTCCTCTCTGATCTCACAGGAGTGATGGGTGAGAACAGAGCTGGAGAATGTGGAGGAGATGGTGAAGCCAACGTGCATATACATTAGTATTGCTGAAGATGGTCCAGCACATGTGGAAGACATTCCATATTGAGCAGGAGGAATGTTCTATAGATTAAATAAAGGTTTTAATGTCCAAAATGTGAACACACACAATGTTTAAACAATATCAGCTGTTGTGTGACTTTTCCTGAGAAAAAACTAACAGAAGTTTATTTACTTCAGATATAACACAGACAACAGACAAAAAATCTATTTCATCAAAGTGTAAGTTGACCAGTATGCTGGTTAGGTTTTGTCATCTAGGAATAGGTAATTTCAATTGAGGAAATACCTCTGTCAGATTGGCCTGTGTTGCTTGATTGTAGTGTTTCTTGATTAAAACAGTCGATGTGGAAGGGCGTAGGCCACTTTGGGAGGTTCCACTCCTGGGACAGTGATCCTGAGTTGTATAAAAAAATCAAACTGAATGAGCCATGGAGCGAAAGACAGTAAGTAGCACTCCCCCATGGTTTCTGCTTCAGGTCCTGCCTCGAGCACTGCTGATAGCTTGTAGGGCCCTTAGGGAGTAGGGTCTGTGAAATTAACTTAGATGTTTGTGAGTATGTCCTGAAGAAACACTAGCCCCTCTCTCTCTCCCTTTCTCCCTTTCCTTAGCTAACCATGATATTACCAGGTTTCCTTTGCCAGATGCTTCAGCCATAAGGTTATACCTCTTCTCAGGTACCAAACAATGGGTCAAGCTATTGCAGATGTAACCACTGAAACACTGAAGCATCTTTCTATCTTAGAAGTTCACTCTCTGAGGTGGCCACACTGACAGAAAACTGACTGACACTGTGGTTAACCAAGACTCTTATGAAGTGCTGTTCACTGTACTTTGAGGTATCTCATCACCTGAAGGAATAAAGAGCTTCTTTGTTAAAGTGGCAGTATGTGCTTCCTGTTACAGACTTTTGAATTCAATATCTCACCAGTGAAGGTTGTGAAAGGTGGTTTAAGCAGGGCATCCATTGAAGCAAGATGGAGTGCAGTATAATTTGGGACATAGGGCTGGAAAACAATGATACTATCAGACCCCCAAAGAGAAACATATAAGACAGAACCACAAACACAATGCATCCTTGAAAAGCTCCTTCCAGGATTACTAGTTTAGTCTTGATAGGCTAAGGGCATAACTCAGTGTGAGTTCACTTGCCTTGTCAACATGATGCCTTGAGTCAGCATGATGTCATAGGTTCAATCCAACACCAGGAGAAAAACAAAAATACCCTATGAAACCAATGGTATGCAGAGTACAGAACACAATAGTTCAGAATCTTTAACATTCATACAGACTTGGCAATGCCCTCCTTTGGTTTCCTCATGAACATGTACAAGTACATACTTTCATATACCAACATGCATACAATCACACACATATACACATGCATATCACATACATGCACATACATATGAATGCACACATATGTATGCATCATAAGCCATCATACACATTCACAACATACACATAAATATGGCATGTATCACACATAAAGATAAACACTCATGTATCCCACCAAAAGTGCATTATTATCACACAGGCATCACACATACACATATGTATATCACAGAAACAAATATGCATTTATCACACATGCACATATATACCACAACCAAATAAATAAGGAATGAAATGAATCTCAACTTAAAGTGGGATTCTATCCTGATAAATTCATGGAATATTTAAAACATCACACATCATACGTCAAAGGTACATTTACTCCATCTAACCCATTAAACACCTCTGTTAATAACACAGCATGTTACAGAGTGTCAGTTGTTTCCTCTGTGACTTTGTGGCTGGCTTGGATCTTCACTGTACACTGCAGATCAGCAGAAGGAGATTATTCTGTTATGTTTTGTTAACCTGGAGGAAATAACAAATTTTAAAGTTTGGCATTAGCTGATTATATTTTGCTTTTGCATCACTGCAAAGTTTTTAAAGGACTAAGGATGGTCTGTCTGTACATTAAAAAATACAATAAGTGGAATTTTTAAATACTCACTTTGGTGGTAAGCCACTCACCCTTCCTTACTGCAGAGTCCTGAATCCCTGTGGCTAGGTATGACCATATGACTGAATTCTGACTAATGAAACAGAGAGAAGCATAAGTGTGTCGGGGCTGGGGATAGGGCCTCCCAAGGGCAGTGACATGCTGCTATTTCACCTCTTTCCTCTGTTCTGACAGGCAGATGTGGCAGCTGGAATCTGAGCCTCCATGAATATCAAGCTGGCCTGTTAAGAAAGTATATAATGATCAATACAAAAACATGACTCTGAAGTTCTACAAAACTGAAAGTAAATGACAGCACTTGCCCAAATATATATTAAAGGCCCGCAAAAGCACACTGACAAAACAAGGGTATATATGTATATATATATATATATATGTTCCATAGTCAAGGAATTCTTCAGTCATGGATTTAACAGTGAGTTACCATCTTGAAATTTATATAGTCCATGGTAAAAACAAGTAAATATGTACAACAAGAACTTTCTGGTCTGGCTGGTCTCACAGTCCTTAAGCCCCCAAATAAACATACAGAGACACTGTATTAATTATAAAATGTTGGCTGATGACTAGGACTTATTGACTACCTCTGTCTTAATTACTAACCCATTTCTATTAATCTAAGTATTTCTACATGGCCTTGTCTCACTGGAGAACACCTGGTGTATCCTATCCTCCCGGTCCCTCATTGCAACTTCATCTGTCTACAATTCCAGAATTCTCCTCATCTTCCAGTCCCACTGATCTTCCTGCCTTATTGACCAACAGTTTTTTATTCATCAACCAATAAGAGAAACATATGTACAAAAGGAATTCCCCATCAAATGTGAAACAAAACATGATCTACTATGGAAAACTACATTTTTGTTTAAAAAATAAAAAGAAAGAATGAGGGAGCAGTGAGGTGGCCCAGTGGGTAAAGGTACTTGTCACCAATCCTTAGGATCTGATCCCTGGGCCCAAATTATAGGAGGCAATTAACTTCTGCAAGTTGTCCTCTGACCTCCACACATTCACCACGGAATGTGAACACCTTCGTTCCCACTCACAATATAAATAAATATATTTATCTTTTACTGCTGCTGTTTTAGCCACCTCTCCACCTGATCCAAAAGCTTTACCACTGGAGTGTATTCCCAAGGAATTATCCCTTAGGCAAGACTTGCTCAGTAGTCAAAGGGGTAAGGAACAATCTGTTGCTATTGGTAGAATAAAAGCCATCAAAGAGTCCTGGGATCTGTTGCCTTTGTTGATAGCCTTGCAAACAGTTTTGTTTTTGCTAATTACCTTTTAAAGAAAATGAGAGAGGATAGAGAGAAAATTTGGAGAGAGGAGAGGAGACTATCCAATCAGTATATATTGGTAAAAATTAGAGCACTTTTTAGTAATGGAACCCAGAAATTGTTCACAACAAAACTTGTCAAATTATCATATAATTCCACTTCTACTTACTCAGCAAAAATAAAGACTTACACAGTCTGTCCCTTGTTAAACTGACTTAAATGTGTAGTTTTACTTGGTGACTGGATTAATCAGCTCTTTTACAATTTCTCCTACTTGTTTGTCAGCTAATTTGGTTGTCTGACAAAGGGAAATTGGTCCTTAGAGACTGTTATAGGTAGCATCAGCCTTCTGGCTACCAAAATTACAGACCACAAATTTGTTCCATAATCCCTACTCTGCCCATAAATGAATAAGTAAATAGATATTCTTAGTTCTCAGGCTAGGAAGGATGGGAAACCAAATGTCCTAGCTTCTCAGCAGCTCCGAGCTACTATAGTATACTCAGACCTGTTTTTCACACTCATTTTCGATGTGTGACCTTCAGAACTTAAGCATAGAAAGTCAAATTAACACATGAAAGAAGCTACCCCTTCTTCCCAGCTCTGGCCCTCTTCTCTCTCAGAAGGGCTTTCTGTTTTCTTTCCTAATAAAGTCTCTGATCTGCTACCATCATGTGTATCTACTTAACTTCCTTCCTTCCTTCTGCCTTCCTCCCTCCTTCCCCCCCATTCACCTTCCCTCCCACCCACTCACCTTCCCTCCCTCCCACTCACATTCCCTCCCTTCCCCCCTCCCTCTCATCCACCTTCCCTCCCTCCCTCCCTTCCTGCCTTCCTTTATTTCTTTCTTTTTCCTTCTGAAGACATAAGAACTGGGGAATTCCTGTGGGTGCTCACCAGATGCCAATATTCACCAATAACAGCTGTTGAACCACTGGCTAGGAGTTAAGACTTGTGTTTTTAATCTCATTAAACTTCCCACTTATACAAGGGTCTCCAAGAGGAGTAGAGAATGCTCTCCTACTCTTTCTTACTTAATGTGTTTCTTCCTTCTCGTCCTCCTTTCACTTTCCTTTGGGCACGTGGCCACAGCTGGCCCAGGTATACTGAGATGACTAGCAGGTGCATACCAGGAGGCAGCAGGGTTGATGGTGGGGACCTGATAGCATTTACTTGGATCTAGTCTTCCCTCCTCCATAGCTCAATGCACCACATATTAGGTGAATCATGTAGCAATGTGGCTCATGGCAAATCCACAAAATGTGTGGAGTTCTAGACACCCCTACAGTGTCTGGGATTACTCCAAATGAAACATCACTATCATGATTAAATCGCCTTCATTTGGGGAATGGTCAACTCTGGAAGGTTTGTTGTTCTTGGTATCCAAGGAAGCTGGGTTTCAGACAATGTCTTAGTTAGGGTTTCTACTGATCTGAAGAGACACCATGACCACAGCAACTCTTATAAAAGAAAACATTTAATTGTGGTGGCTTGTTTACAGTTCAGAGATCTAGTCCATTATCATCACGATGGGAAGCAAGGCAGCTTGTAAGCAGCCATGGCGCTGGAGAAGAAGCTGAGAGTTCTATATCGGTCATAGGCAACAGGAAGTGGCCTTTTCACTGGGCTTGGTTAAAGCATCTATGAGACCTCAAAGCCTGCCTCCACAAGGATGCATTTCCTCCAACAATGCCACACCTATTCCTACAAGGTCACATCTCATAACAGTGCCACTCCCTTTGGGGGTCATTTTCTTTCAAACCTCCATTTTCCACTCCCTGATCCCCAAAGGCTTGTAGTCACATCATAATGCAAAAATACATTCAGTCTAAATTCAAAAGTCACCATAGTCTATAACAGTCCCAAACTTATGTGGGTGTGGAAATCAGGATGCACTAGACCCAGTATAAATATCTCAATAACAGATAGAACTGAAATGGCTTGACTAGAGATAGAACTGTAAAGTGTAATGTAAAATACCCTAAGTTGTATCAATATACTATATATATATATATACACACATATATATGTATGAAAAACATCACAAACAGAAAAAAGACTACTAAGTCAACATACAAGAATCTAACAATTTAAGTTACTTGTAGCTAATGGTTGCTTAAATGAGTCACAAGAAGATACGTTAATGTACTATATCCCATCCTAACTACACCCTTCCCATCCATACCCTTAAATTTATCTAAAAGAGATAC